TGGCGTTGGTGATTGTCTGGGCAAGGGCGATGCCGACAATGCCGCAGCCGGTTCCCAGTTCGAGGACAGTCAAGGGAGAGGCTTTTGTGGAGGGCAACAGAGCCCTTGCTAATGTCGACTTTGTGTCTGCCAAGTCTGGTATATGGCAGGCCAGGGTTATGCCCGCGTCCCTACAAAGGCAACCTCAGTGGGCAATGGGTGAGAAGAGGTGCTGGAGAAGGCAGGTTTACCACAGATGCCTTGCAATGCTTTCTCCGGTCTCCTCCCAGATGGCTACGTCGGAGTGTGGTGACAGGCTAAAGCGGCGCTGGACCAACCTAGGGGCGTTGTCATCCAAGGTAAAGGGCGCACTCCAGGCGGATACAACACCTCGCGCATCCTGGCCCGCGAGAGCAAGATACTCGTCGGGCGAGTTTCCGGGGCCTATGCCTACTTTGAGGCGCAACAGCGAAGACGGCAGTGCGTGGGACTTGGGCAATGGGATGGTTATGGGTAGAGAGCGCATGCCACTTGCCCAGCGCACAGAGGTCCAGACGAGGACATGCTCTGCATCGTGGGTGCACAGCAGGAGCTCGGCGGCGAGATGGACATGGTGGGGAAGAAACGAGTCGCCCAGGTCCGAGGCGAGGGTGACGAGACAGGCGACGCTGGCCGTGTTGGTGGTCTTGTCACGGAGGATGCGGGGGGGTTTGAGGAAGCGGAGGTAGCGCATGGCGGGTGTTTGTGCATGGGCACTGAGGAAAAGGTTGGGTTGGGTGTGTGTGTGTGGGGTTGGGGGGCGACGCAGAGGGACTAGCACACACTGCAGTCTGGAGTCGATAGACGGCGGCGTCTCGCCCCGGCGCATTCGTGTCGGCGACACCCAACGTCGCGTCCAGTGTAGTGCATATCCAGACGCAGCGCAGCCTGCCAGGAGTGAAGAGGAGGAGGAGTCAGCATCGCCATCGCCATCACCATCGCCATCGCCATCGCCATCGGCCATCGACGTTGCCATGTACCGCCGCAGTGACCCGCGCTGGAACCGGACGTTGCAGCAGATTACAGAGAACCTGGAGCACGCAAACGACACGGCGCAGGAGAACATCTACGGCTTCACGCAGCGCTACATCGACCCATGCTTTGCATCCGTCACCCGCTGCGTCAGCGCATGCACCGCGCCCTGCCTGCCCTCTGGCCATGACCGGCGCCGTCACCGCGGGCGGTCGCGCGGGCGGGCCGAGTCGAGCTTCGACTTCTACGACGACTGGGACCACGACGACGAGACGGACGGCCTGCTGGGCTGGGGCAGTGACAGCCTCGATCGCTTCCTGAGCACGTCGGCTGGCTATGGAGCAACCACACAGCCCGCCCGCCAGCCCGCCATGAGCTACGGCCAGCGCAGCCGCGATGCGCGGTACAACACGCCGCGCCGCAACAGCAAGACCAAGCCCAGGACGGGGCCCCTCGCCCGCGACACCACCCACGACCCCACCCTCATCCCCAGCTCCTCGTACTTTGGCTTCCTCGGCCGCCTCCCCTTCAACATTGGCGCCCGCGGCCTGCGCTACAAGCCCTCGGCTGCCGACCTCATCGACCACCCGGGCGCTGCACGCAGGAGCCTCGACGAGGACCAGCCCCTGATCGACGACAGCGACCATGACGACGAGGACGATGCTGCCGGCCTGAGAAACTCGGAGCACAAGGGTCACCGCAGGCAGCGAAGCGACACGCATGCCTCGGGCCACACGACCGACTCGCTCAGTTCCAGAGGTGACATCTTCCCCAGCGAAGACGAGCTCGAAGACGCCGTGCCCCTCGACGACGAGTTCACCATTGCCCTCGAGCGGCGCACCACCGGCCAATGGACTCAGGACAGTGCCAGCAGCAACAAGACGCTCTCCGCAACCAGCAACCGCCCTTCTGCCTCGCGCCTCTCGACACGCACAACCCACCGCTCCTCGCCCGCCGACACCAGCGACTGCATCCCCACTCTCGCCGACCTTGACGAGCAAGAAGAGCGTCTGCGCCAGCAGCAAGAGGACGACATCGACCGCAAGCGCCACAATGCCCACCACCTCGCCGTCAAGCGTGGCCTAGCCTCAGACCCTGCCTCGCCCTTGCTCCCCACCCCAACCGCCACAACCAGCCGTGATCAGCTTCCGTTTGCCAGTACTGTAGACGCCCAACCAATACCCGAAACTGGTCTGGGTCCTCTTGATGAAAATAGAGGGCAACACCATGATGGACAAGACCAATTCGTGCCTGCCAGACTACCGCACTTTGGGTCGGGGTAGACTGCATATGCTTTTTCTCTATTCCCTTTCCTGTAATATTGCATTCTCTCCTGCCTTCTTCCTGGCACTAGATAACGAAACGACACGTACGCAGACATGATAGTCACGGGCGCAAATATCATCACCATCATTACCATGATCATGACCATTGCCTGTACACGCTGCTCTCGGTTCAAATTGCATTGGTGTCAACCTGCTCCCACTACAGCCCCATGTTACCAAATGTGATTGGCTTCTTGGTCAAGCCCTGGTAGATCTCATCTAGCACGCTCCTCTTCCTCTTCTTGTCTACCTCGCGCTCCTCTTGTTCCGCCGCTTCTTCGTCGTCCGCCTCGGCATCTTGCTCGGTTCGCGGCTTCCACGCACTAATGCTACCGTCCCCATGCCCAGAGTACATTTCAACCTCGTGCGCCCGCCAAGCCAAACTCGTGATTCTATCCTTGGCCGGCTGTTGCCAATTGCCCGCTGTTAACCCTCCATGTGAGCGCTGTTGCGAGCGGCGTAGGCGGCGTATCAGCTTGCCCTCCCACAGCTCGTACACCAGCACTTCAGAGCCGTTGGGATAGAAGATGACTTCACCACCTGGCTGTACGCTCTCAACTGGGGCAAATACAGGCAGCCGTGGCGACAGACCTGTGTTTTTAACCATGGGGCCAAAGTTTGCCAGTGTGTTGGCCCCAGTGTCCGTGTCCCAGACGCGGATGCGCGCGTCATGGCCACATGTCACAAGATGCCTCCCATCTTCTGTCCATATCAGCCCATTGACAGGTCCCCGGTGTGCTTGCTTCATTGTTGCGTTGCGAGACAGGGACATGGACTGGCTGCCACGTCGGCCAACCGAGTCTTCGAGATCCAACATGGCCAGTTCGCCCACACTGCGACGCACATCCCAGAACCGGACAGTGCCGTCGGTGGCCCCACTGGCGACAATGTGTTCGCGAACTGGACTCCATGCCGTAGATAGCACTGCCCCAGAGTGACCCGCCAGACTATGCGTCGTCGCCCCAGACCGCAAATCTACAAGACGCACGTTGGGATTCTGTGTGGCGCAGGCAACAAGTAGATGCGAGGCCACGGGTGACAGCGAGATGTTGTATACGACAGAGTCCAAGTCAAAGGATGCAGATGTGGCGAGCGTTTCGCTCGAGTAAAGCTTGACAGTGTGGTCGTAAGACGACGTGAGGAACGCCAGCGAGTCGAACGGGTAGAAGTGTATCTGTGTAATGCCGAGTTTGTGTTCTTCACTCGTCTTGCTTGCGGCAGTCAGAGGTGTGTACGTCTCGCCTACCTCGGTTGTGCCCGGCTGCGCCTCAAGATCCCACAGTGCGATCGAACTGTCGGCGCCTGCAGACAGCAGATACCTCCCCTCGAACTTATCAACTGTCAGCGCACTTACGCCAGATGCGTGGGCTGGTATGCGCTCGTGTGGAGCATTGGGAGTAGGCAGATGCTGGTTGAATTTTACGCTGGGCGACGGCTGCAGCGCGTAGACGAGGCGTGAGGTGCAGGCGCGCTTGAGGACATGGTTGGGAATGAAGCCGTACGCGCGGTCGAGCACGTGTTGGTTGTGCATATGCGACTCATGCTTTTGTGTGCGCGGCGATGTGTGTGAGTGATGAATCAATGGGTGCAAACTACAGCCAGGTGGGTGAGAGTAGTGGAGACGCTGAGGGACGGGTCGAGGCTCATAATGCGTATGTACCTATGACGTTGCTGCCTGCTCTTGCGCAGACTGCGGCGGCCGAGCTGCTCGCAGGGATCCCGTGTTGGCCTCGCGAACAAATAGCAGTGTACTAGTGTAATCTGCCCTCTGAAGCCGACCACCTCTTAGGACAAAACATAACAGTAGACTGTACAACAAAAGCATTTACAATGGCCTCACGACAAAGTTCAGCAGCTGCCAGTGAGAAAAAGCCACGCAAGCGAAGAGCCAATGTTTACGATGCTGTTGCAGGCAAGAGCCGCATGGCCCTGCCGTGCAAAACCGATTCTGACTGGAAATACAGGCAACGTCACGCAAGCTGGTTTGATTGGGCATGTCACTGGTCCAAAGGCGGCCAAGAAACGTCTACGGCCGGACGAAGTCCTCTTCAAGCGTAAGAATGCACCGATCCGGTACGAAGAGGACGACTATTACCCAGCCCATAACCGTCTCTCGGACCAGCAACTGCCTAGGGGAGAACTTTTGACTTCAATCCATGCTTACATAACCCATATGTATGCTCAAGTCGATGCCCGTGGCCGGAGTATACGATGGCGACACCTGGACGAAACTGTCCTGCTTGCCCTTGGCATCCTTGTAGAGGAAACGGCGCGCAGTGTCATCGGCAAGACCGGCGATCTAGCTTTCACCGAGGCTAGCCAAGGCGACGGCTGTGGGAAGAGCAAGAGCAAGAGCAAGAGCAGGTCGACTTCGTCTACCGTCAAAGAGCATGCGCCTGTTGATGCAACCAAACAGTCTGCAAAAGAGACGAACCGTTCCGTGCGCGTCTCCTGGGCTTCGCCAGTGGACTCGACAAGCATCGCACAAGAAACGGACTAGACAGATGGGCGGTTGCCTGTCCATGCATCATGGTCGTGCCTGCCTTTTTCCCTTGTCCGAGCCAGCCAAGCGTGCCTTCCTCGTCTGGATGAGCGTGTCTTTTCTTTACACCACATCTTCAATCACATCAAGTGTCCCATGCCCCAACCCCACCCCCAACACCATCTCTGAGAAAAACAGTCAACATGGTAGGTCCGACTACAACTACAGCATCTGCCGCCCTAACATAGTCAAGGCACCTAAGACTCAGCCCAACCCACAGAAAGCAGCTTCTATCTTGGCATGGTTTCACAAGACAGCACAGGCACACAGTATCAAGGACCTTGAGAAGACGCTGCCTCAAGTGTCTTCCATCAACGGCATGCAAGTCAAAGACTATCTGCAGGCACTTTCGGATGACAACAAAATCCGCGTCGAGAAGATTGGCAGCGGCAACTGGTACTGGAGTTTCCCAGCTGATGAGAAAAAGGCGAAGAATGCCACTCTCAAAAAGGCCCAAGAAGAGTACGACAAGGTCAGGGCGACTGTGTCTGATCTGCAGGCAAAAGTAGACGGCGCAGAAGCAGCTCGCGCAGAGGACGAGGACATGCTCATGGAGCCTGGTCAGTGCAAACGCGTCTGCCGTGCACCCTTTACTGAGAGACTCCAGGCGGCGATCGCCAAACTCTCATCACAAAGCATACCGGCATGATGAAGGAATTGGAACAACTTCGCAAAGACTTAGCCGCGTACAGCGAGCAGGACCCGGTCGAGTTGGAGAAGAAAGAGAGTGAAGCACACAAGGCTCGCCTCGATGCCGAAAGATACACTGATCACATCTTGGCCATGCAGAGATGGTTCAAGACCAATGCAGGCGGTGGTGGAGGAGATGAATTTCTTAGTGTGCTGAAGATGCTATATGGTGATGAGTACGACAGTGAGGAGCAAGGCTTGCGTGAACTTTGATGGCCTAGGGAAGGTTGTGGAATTCATGGTAATGTCAGATGAATACTATACACTAGGAAATTACCAGTCGCTGCAAGTACCAGGATCAGGGTATACTGCGTAAGTATCGGTTTGGGGTGCATTGTGTAGGCCAGTTCCACATGCGGAATCACCATCATGTCGACTCATTCACTGCGCCACAGTCGAGAGATTACTTGAGTCATGTCAGTGGCGCATGGGCCACTGTTTAGCTGTCATTCGCTTGCAAGAGCGTCATCGTAATACCTTTAGTCCAAGAACACGAAACGCCCTGCTATGAATAAGAGGCCTCGCCGGCCTGCCCTGTACCCATCGAGTTGTCGCTGCTCTTCAACACTCTACTACTGCCTTATACGTTGGGACTCTTCCAAAGACGCACCTCGCACGGCTCCTACGATACCCCGCCATGGCTTCGACGGGTGCCCAAGAAACCTCCCAAGTTCCTGCAAGCGCACAACGGCGCGGTGGCAGAGGGCGCGGACGCGCAAGAGGTGCACATGGTGGCTCCGAAGAAAGACAGGAGAATTTTGAGGCAAGAGGGCGCGGACGGGGTGGCAACCAAGGGCGAGGTCGAGGTCGAGGCAACAGGGACGGCCCTGGTGGTCGCGGCGCATCTGCACAGGACAAGGGCAAAGCACCAGCAGTAGAAACACCAGAAAACGGTCCTGCGCTCAGCAAGCCTGTACCGGCCCCAGCCCCCGCCCCCGCACAGTCAGACGACGAAGATGCAGATGGCGAGGTGTGCTTCATCTGTGCATCGCCCGTCCAGCACCTGGCCATTGCTCCCTGCAACCACCGGACATGTCACATTTGCTCAATCCGCATGCGAGCGCTATACAAGACAAAAGCTTGCGCCCATTGCAGGACCGAATCCGACCACGTCATCCTCAGCGATGACGCTGAAAAGACATATGAAGATTTTTCGAAGGCCGACTTTTTCAAGTCGGATGATACCCTAGGCATACACTTTGAGAATGCGGCAGTCTTTGAGGACACGCGGTTGTTGCTGCAGTACAACTGCCCGGATAGCGAGTGCGACGTGGCCTGCCTCGGATGGCCTGACCTACACCGTCATGTCAAGACGGCACACGCCAAGATGATGTGGTATGTACTAGATGCGTACTCGTCGCTTTGCACGACTATGCTTGGGCTAACATGACGTAGTGATCTGTGTACACGGAACAAAAAGGTGTTCACGCATGAGCACGAGCTCTTCACCCCGCAAGACTTGAAAAAGCACCAAAAGTTTGGCGATGACAATCCCGGCGCAATTGACCAGAGTGGTTTCAAAGGCCATCCCGAGTGCGGCTTCTGCAGACAGCGCTTCTATGGAGACGATGAGCTGTACACACATTGCAGAGACAAGCACGAGCGCTGTCACATTTGCGATCGACGCGAAGGAGGCAGCAGAAAACAGCAATACTATGTCAATTACGATTCTCTCGAGATACATTTTCGAAAAGACCACTTTTTATGTCCAGACCGCGAGTGCTTGGACAAGAAGTTTGTCGTGTTTGACTCGGAGATGGATCTCAAGGCACACCAGCTCGAGGTGCATCCTAACGGTCTATCGAAGGATGCATTGCGAGACGCGCGGAGGGTGGACATGTCTGGGTTCCAATTCCGAGCCCCGCACGAGCAAAGTGCAGGCAGCGGCAGGCGAGATGAGCGAAGGCGCGAAGGGGGCAGAGGACGTGGCAGAGGACGAGATCCGAATGCAGAGCCAGTTCCTGCCTCTTCTGCGCAGCCCCTGAGCAGAGCCGAACTCGCCTATCAGCGACAGATGGAAGCGCAGAATGCCCATTCAATTACCGGAAGAGCTTTTGGTGGTCAACTTTCGACTCCCACTCCTGGTGAGGCGTTTGCAGCCAGACCACCCCCAAGCGCTTCTGGGCCTGCCGTAGTGACAGCTTCACGTCCAAATCCGGGAGCTACCAGCAACATTACAAACGGTATGAGCCAACTCAGCGTCGATGCGCAATCGGTCAGTTCGATTCCGCAAACCCCACAAGAGCAAGCCCGGCTGCTGCGTCACAACGCGGTCACTGAACGAGCTGCGAACATGGCCGGACACAACGAAATTAAGCTGCAAGAGTTCCGAGCGGCGGTATCAGCTTACCGAAATTCGAAAACATCGGCAGCACAGCTGATTGAGGGCTTCTTTGCGCTGTTCGATGCCGATTCGAAAGAGATGGGAAAGCTGATCAAAGAGCTAGCCGACATCTTTGAGATTGCAACGAAGCGGGAGGGACTCCTCAAGGCATGGAACGATTGGAAGGCCATTAATGAGGACTATCCTTCGTTGCCTGGCTCTGCTACCGAGCATGCCTTGAGCGGCGGGTCGGCGGGTCGAGGAGGGTCGCGTGTGCTGAAATTGAAGAGCTCAACGGCGCAGTCATCGCGCTCAACAGCCAACCAGCAAGCTAGCTGGTCATCTGCATCCTCAAGCAATCCATTTCCTGCGTTACCCACCCCTGCAAGTCGCATTGGTGCCAAGCCTGGACAAACGCCGTGGGCATCGTCTTCGTCTGCTGCAGGTAGTGCCCGCCCCTCGCCTTCAGCTACGCCCTCTCGCGGCGCAGCACCATCATCATCAAGCACGAGCAAGAAGGCCAGCCTGGCAGATGCATTCCCAGCGCTTCCAGCAGCAGCCAAACCTACGAGTACGATTTTCAGCCCAGGATACACGGGCAACGGGCTACGGCGAGACAATAGTGGGCGCAACACTCCAGTGGTGAATGCTTGGGGATCAGGGTCAGGTGCGAACAGTGGAACGACGACACCAGCAGTTGAGGATGGCAGCGCAGCTGGAAAGAAGAAAGGCAACAAGGGTAAGAAACAGACGCTGTTTCAATGGGGCTAGAGGGTTAGTTAGTGGCCAAAAGCGGGGGCCTTGGGCATGCGGGGACGCTCGGTACATGGATATTCGAGGGGACGCATAAGGGACGGTGCGCATACAAGTGCCGTAGTCATGGTAACATGGCAGAAAAGAAACTAGGATGGAAAAGAAAAAGAAGCGGTGATGACGGCATAGAGTAGTATCTCGAGGACGATGTGTGGACGCTTGTGAGGAGCGGTGAAAGAGGCGGCGGGCGATGTGGAGCGAAGAGTATGAAGAAGAGTGTAGAGAGGCATGTGCTGATGAGTGTAGCTCGACATTCAAGACAATGCAGACTGAGGCGACCAAGGACTCGAGTTTGCAGGGAACAAGCACATGGGCCAGGCAACCCGGGATGACCCAATGGACGACGTTGGTTGCACGATTTTGTTTTCGCAGGGGCGCCTCTTTGAGCGTGAAAACCTGTTTTTCTTTGTTTGCGCAATTGAAGTTTGTTTGAAAAATGCAGTAGGTGTTATGATAGCAAACAGTCGCAGTAGCAGGAGTAGTAGTGTGTGTGTGTCTGTGTGTGTGTGAAGTGGATGATTTGGGATTTAAGCTATTTTTTAGCGTGCTTCATGTGTTGACGACATTTGTAGACGGAGCCGAGTCATGGGTTTGCGGAGAAATACTTGTCGAGTACAGCGTGGTTGGGTGGATGGTTCCTAGTCGATGCTGGCACTTTGACGTGATTTGGAAGAGGGTTGAGGACAGCATGTGGGTATGCAGCAAGGAGCTTTGGCTAGTAGGAGCAGATGCATAGGTGTGTGTGTGATGGGCATACTTGGATGATGCAAGCACAGGCACAGGCACAGGCACAGGCACAGGCACAGGCACAAGGGCGTGGGTGTAGTGTACTTAGGCCAAGTATGGTGTGGGTGATGCGATAGGCCATGATTACCGACTACCTACATGCAAGCGAGGCGTCGAGGGAATCGGGACTGCAGGCCGGCGCGGGCAAGGCGATCGCCACATGTACTTGTTATCCCGCAGAGACCATGGGGCTAGTTGCAGCAATGGGCATTGGATTTGCGCAGCATCAGAGGCCTTGTCGTTGGTGGGTACGCCGCACCTGGACCATGGTTCATGTGGTGATGAGCATGGACATGAGTCATGTACTACGGACAAGTCAACGCTTGGTTGGAGCCGCTTGCTATAAAACAAAACCCCCGGGGCGGTGTCGCCCTTTTGCTCCCTCAAATCTGCCAAACCAGCCATCCAGCCAGCCATCCATTGATCCAAAGACCCGGACCTGACCATCCTCGGCATCGCCAGTGCAGTGCAGTGCAGTGCAGTGCAATCGTCGTCGTCGTTATCGTCGTTGTTTGAACCGCCCCCGCCCGCTTGCTTTCAGAGCGCGCGACACCAGCAGCTACCATGGCCGCCAGCATGGCTCACTATCAAGGCCACCTCAGCAACCGCATCACGACTGGACGCGCCGAGACGGTTGGCCAGGCACAGTACCCGCCGCGGCGAGCAGAGCGCAAGTACAAGCTCGAGGTCGAGCAGCAACCCATCCGAGCGCGCATGTGTGGCTTTGGCGACAAGGACCGGCGGCCCATTACGCCTCCGCCGTGCATCCGGCTCGTGGTACTGGACGAGATGGATCGCGAGCTCGACTTCAACGAGATCGACAGCACCTACTTTGTCCTCATGGTGGACCTGTGGAACGAGTCGGGCCAGTCGGCCGTCAACCTGGTGCGCCATAGCAGCGCCGCGCCCACCGTGTCCATCAGCAGCAGCACAACGACGTCGTACCCGCCACCGCCCGAGCGCAGCCACTACGTCGCCACGACGATTCCGGGCTACGATGCACATTCGCAGGCCTACCGCCACCAGCACCAGCACCAACAGCACCAGCACCAGCACCAGCACATGCAGCCCCAGCCCATGGCCCCGGCGGGCTACGGCCCCGGCGCCCACACGGGCGTGTCGGTGCCGGTCCCGCCCTACTATCCGCCCACCCCCCAGCCTCCTACGCCAACCTACCAGCAGTACCCCGCCCCCACCCCCGCCGCCCCTTATGGCCAAGCCCCCGCCCCCTCGGCCATGATCCCCGCAACCCCCATGAGCTCCAACCACACGCGCAACCTCATTGGCATGAACGCCGTCAACGCCTGCCGCCTCAACGACACCAAGAACAAGCCCGGCTTCTGGTTTGTCCTGCAAGACCTCAGCGTCCGCACAGAGGGCACCTTTCGCCTCAAGCTCTTCCTCTTCGACATTGGCGCCGGCGACGGCACAAACGCCACCGTTGCCGCAGACGGCCCCACGCGCGGCAAGGGCAAGTGCCTCGCCGTCAACTTCTCCGACCCCTTTACCGTCTATTCGGCAAAGAAGTTCCCCGGCGTCATTGAGAGCACGCCGCTGAGCAAGTGCTTTGCCCAGCAGGGCATCAAGATTCCCATACGCAAAGATGGCCCCAAGCTCCCTAATCAAGCAGAGTATGATGCCGATGATTAATCCTGTAATTTACTAGCACCTTTTCGCTACGAATAAACACAAAATTTCCATTCTTCCAAAATAGACTTGACATACTTTAAAACCAACTAACAGATGATGGCTGAAAAGTAGATAGCTCATCATACTTAGACTTACAATTTATTATTACCATGTAACTGCTACGATGTAGCTTTCTCCTCCATATGGATGCCCCAAAATGCTGGTCATGACTGTAGAGTCGTTTTAGGTAAATAACTAACAAAATATCTATTGTTTGATAATTATAGTTCATTTATTCGTACGTTAGATCCGCAGCAACTTGTGCCCTCGTTATTGCTTGTGAAAAATTCTAGTTTATAAATCTCGTAAAAGATGCCATCTACTCTATATGCTTGACGACATTGCCATGTTCGCCTTTTTCCATTATGTACTCTGGTACAAGTGACCCTACAATTGGCTTTCTCGATTCTCGAACAAGCGATAGAATCGAACCACTTTCCTGAAACATCATCTCAAGCTCCTCTAGACTGCGGCCCATGGTTTCTGGGTAAAGGAAGTAGATGATTGGAACAATTGAAGCAGACACAGACAGGAATACCAAATAGTATCGCCAGCCAATAGTTTCAATCGCCACGGGGGTAACCTAGCAGGTGTTAGTGCCAACTCTGGTCAAAATCGAGCATTCTGCAGTACTCACCATGTTGATGACGAAGTTCCACAGCCAGTGATTCGCGGTTGATATACCCGCCATGCGAATCCTAAGTCTTGTTGGGGCGACCTCAGTACAGTATAGGAAGTTCGCTCCAGAGAACCCAATAGGTATGAAGAAGTTGAACAAGTAGATAAAGAACGCTGAGGCAATCTGTGCGGCATAGTTGCTCTTTGGGAAGCTAGAGGCAACGGCAAGGGCCAACATGCACGAGGCCATTCCACAACCACTAAACATGAAGAGTTTGCGGCGACCGAATCGATCAATCGTAAAGTAGGCAATAAAGCAAGAGAGAAACTTCCACGTAAGAGCTCCCCCTGATAAGATGCGAGACATCTCACTGCTCATTCCGAGGCCTTGTTGAAAGATAATCTGATATCGTTGCGTTAGTCAAGGCAGTGTAGATTGATCCGAGTGCTACTTACCGTCGAATATGTCGATATCAGATTAGATCCACACATTTGTTGTGCAAATTGTAGAAAAATACACAGGGAAAACCTGTAGAACAATCTATCCTTGCCCATGGTGAAGATGTCGCTTATCTTAGCCCGGGCCTTGGTCTCCTCTAGTGCGAGTTCAATACCGTTGATCTCGTCACTGATGACGGGATCGGTAGAATCAAGTCCCTCGAAAGCGGACATGCTCACACGCGCCTCTTCATATCGAGATTGTTTGCAAAGCCACCTTGGAGATTCCGGAATCGTAAAGACGGCAACCATGGGCACGATTGAGATCAGAGTCGGGATAGCGAGCGGGATCCGCCATTGTAGAGGTAGATTGTCCTTGATCTCGAAAAACCCAAGGTTAATCCACGCCTCAAGCATGTAGCCTCCAAGGATAAAGACACCATCGAGAACAACGTGTTTGCCGCGGTTTGCGGTTGTCGAGCATTCCGATTGCCAAACAGGAACTGTTGCGCTCATGCCTCCAACGCCCCATCCTAGAATGATTCTTCCAACAACGAATTGCGCAACATGAAAGCTGGTGCATTGGAGGATTTCTCCCACAAGTGTCAGGAAGGCGGCCGTAAAGATAATCTTGCGATGTCCATATTTTTCCGCAGACCAAGAGCAGGATAGAGCTCCAAAGAGTGCGCCAATTGTAAACGATGCCACTACAGCACCCTGTCTTGTTGACTTCTGACTCTTTTCAGCACCCTGAGCATCGATTGTATCAATCTCGGGGAAATTATGGTTCCAATCACGAAGCGATAGGAGGCCACCAACACCTGATTGATTGTAACCGAAAAGCACAAACGCTGGCATGACTACAAGCAGCAGCTGAGCAAGCCGTAGTTGCTTTCCGGTGAGCCCCATACTGTCTCTGCCTCTCTGGCGGAGTACGGTCGGACGGGAAGAATGGTGCTTTGATTGGTCGAGGGTTTCAACGTGTCGTCGGATCGTGAACTGGTGACACACACAGCTGAGGTTGATCTGGGTAGATGACAAAAGTGAAATCCGGGAGCAGCGCGTTATTTGTATTCCAATCGGTACGATTAGAAATGCGCTTATCCAAGAAACTGTGGGGAAATGTCGGGGCAGGTTGAAAATCCCCAAGATACGACACCGAAAGATCCGGGGAATGAGAACAGGCGCTCCGCTAACAGTACAAATCTGCAACTCGCAAGCGGCCGATAATGGCATCAATTCGGACCAAAACCCAAGCTCACCAAGCCTCACCAAGCCTAGACGCAAGAGTGCTAAGACATTTGACAGTTCTTGTGCCTCCGACCCGCGGGTACAGCAACAAATCAAGTCCACGGGAGGCGCACGGGAAGCCCGTGGGCTTACCCGCGGGAAGTGCAAATGACAACCCACGGGAAAACCCACGGGAAGGCCACCCATGCCTTGGGTAGTTATACGTAAACAGTTAGTAGTAGTCGGGATACTTGCCATACTAGGGAGTACATCCGACAAGCCGTGCAAACCCTACCAACAACGCCCATGCGACTAGCTATCACAGGTCAAGCGTATCGTATTTTCTAGACCGTTTGTGGGAATACTTCGCTGTGACATGACGTTTTGTTGCTTTGTCAATACCGCCTGGGTGGGGGTTCAATCAAACCTGGACAAGATTCCATTTTCGTCCTCTTTCCGATCAATAGTAAGTGTCCGATAGAGAGCTCGCTTGTTGCCGTTCAAAGGCCGGCACATCGAAGTCTGGCGTCGTTTGTCGTTTCTTGTGGCTGGCTTCAACCCTAAACCACCTTGAACTGAACCGGTGTTCACACGAGAAGTCTGCAACGATGACATGGGCGCCCATCGCTAGCCATTAGTTTGACGTCTTTCATACGAGCTGATGAGAAACGAAGAATCAGATCTCTTATCGTTGACCTAGTGTCGCGATGCATAATGTCCTCGTCCTTTCCAACGCTCGTTGATCTTTGAGCAAAAGTCGCCATTATTGCATCGAGTTTGAGTCCAATGACATCTTCAGTCCTTGTAAACCCTCCAGCTTCATTGATTCTATCAAGTATTGCTGTCCTGCGCGTCTAGTCCCTACTAAGTTCACGGCTATTTTTGGATGGCGAACCTATTTTACATCTGCAGCGCAACTGGCATGGTCATCTACTTGACTGTGTTTAGTGCATAGATTAAGCAAGGCTATGCGCCTTTGGTTTCTGGGGGCTAGCGTTACAGCCGGCCTCGACCCGGCTGCCCTTGAGTGCTTCTTCGCTGCTCTGGTGGGACCCAACACGCGCTGTACAGCCGAGGAGCCAGGAGCACCGCTAGCATTTCCGCCGCTGCTGCGCTGCCAATATTTCCAAGCATACATTGCCAAGTCTGTTAGGTTCGTTTTGCTCTCTTTCTCGACTTCTAACATGGGTGGCTCACTGACATGTTTGGAGTTCTAGACTTGTTTGGCAAATCAGAATTCTGGCGTGGCTTGCATTGCTGGCCACGATGACCACCCGAGATGTAAGACCTCAAGTCACTGTAGGCCATGCTCATGGCTGACTCGGTCATAACAATCGTCCTGACTGGCTGATTCGACTGCTCTGACTCTTGAGGTAGAGAAGCCTGATGAAAGACTAATCAAGTCAAGAGAAACGAGCGAGTTCTCATGAAGATCAGCGATGACTTGTAGGCACTAAGTTAGGTTATGTACTTTGGATTAACAACAAATTTTCGATGCACAAAAAGAGGCCCGCACCCTCGACTATCACGCCCTGTATTCGGCCCGATGTCCTTATAGTCATACAAAGTCACGTAAAAGGCCAACTTCTACCGTCATGTGCATGCTTTGGAGTAATATTGACAGTAGTGTTGTATTTTAAGTGAAGGGATGGCGAGTGGTTGAAAATCGGTTGAAAGATTGAGTCAGAGATGGTCAGATGAGAAGCCTGTACTTCGAGGCTCTGGTTTGCACACCGTTAAACGCTGGGTCGTACTGGTTGCCCAGAGAAGTAATCCAAGTCTGAGATATATCTGCTTTGCCACCCGTTTTCGAGTGCTATTATCCATGCAGATGTCTTGGTGCAAAAAGCCCAAGATGACGAAATTCACCCTCGACTCTTTGCTCTCCCTCGTCAGGGGGTACAATACTGCATCCGTTTGTTTCACTGTTACTTCCTTGTGGCCTCGTCCTCTATGGTCAGGAGCCAAGTCACATAATTTTAAAATCTAGATGGCTTTTGACGAAATGAGTTGGAGGCATGCCTCCGCGCCGACAATGGGCTGTGGGTTGTGTCGCAGCAGCGTGGAACCTCAGCATCAACCGCAACTGGTCTCGCAAGGCCCTCGATCTATGCTACAAAGAGAGGTCCGACTTAAGACGTGAGATTGTCATAGTGACGGGTGGTGCGACAGGTATCGGTGCCCTTGTAATCCAAAAGCTCGATGCTGCTGGCGCGACCGTCGTCGTTTTCGACGTCTCTAGGCTCAGCTACACGCCAAGTCGTAGAACCTCGCACATTCAGTGCGATTTCAGCGATGTCTCGAGTGTATAAATGGCAGCTGTAGAGATAAATCGCCTCCATGGTGTTCTGACACCGCATGATGGTCGCCGGCCATGAGCATGTCGTCGTTACCTTGTCCGCAACCGCCTTTTTCACTGTCGCGCGACGAAAGATCGAACAGCAGTAGAGAAGAATCAATCCCGTTGAAATAGATGAAAGTACGGCAGTTCAAATTCTATCTAATAATTTGAAACGTAAGATAGAACTGTGTATGTGTTTGTACCCAGTAATTGTCACATGACCCATGCGTACATAGTATGCGTACATAGTATGCACCATTGGCTATTAGTGCTAAGTCCTTGAAAGGCCTTTTCTGGCTAGCCAGGTTTCTTTCAGCTTAATAACCAGACTACCTTGCATGATTCTTGGTTGCTCATAAGGTCGTGGGAATAGCGACTGTTGATGATGTGATAATCTCATTTATCTAATATATCGCAGAGAAATGAGCTTTGGAACCTTAGAGACCTGCAGCTAGAAGAAAGATGTTAGATAGCTGCTAGCTAAAAGAGAACCGAAAAGACAAGAAAGTAGTTCTATAATTAGCACCATAGCGCTATTAACGTTATCATTTAATTTCTTTAGAAACGACTTTGTGTATTAGATATTACTATACAGAATACTAACTAACGTACCTCACGGGTTCGTGCAACACACGGGTTCGTGCAACACTTTTGCCAAGACCCCACCAAAACTACCATATTATGGCCCAAAATAGCCCACTTTAGACCTATATAGCGCAAAGAAATATAAGATATTATTCTAAGTCTACTTCTACTACCTACTTACACGTTCGCGTATTATACCTAGTCCTATTACATGTTACAAGTAACAAGAAGGATTCTCTCCTTGACAAAAGACGCGATGGCTGAAGGCCTATGGACGTCCACGTCAGAAGGTAATAATCATCGCGGGGCGAAGATCACGTGATTAACATCACGCTAAGACGACCATCAGGCGCTAGTATATAATAGCAGTAATCCTGTAATAGTAGCTATTAGGGACATTAGGCTAAGAGGAAGGAAGTTGTGACGATAGTGATGGTAAGACTAGAAGTAACAAGGATATAAGGATAGATAGATTTTATTATTACTCTCATTATAGTTAACTTAAATTATACTTTCTTACTAGTTACTTTACTTAATAAGATTATTACTCGTTAGTCTATT